ATTGTGAACATCATTCTTCATCACTATTATCACATACCCACACAATATCATGTTGATCCTACCCATGCTATCCATGCTACTTAATCAACACAACACCATAGAAGATAAAATGAATATCAACTTCAAAACCATGTCAAAAGTTTGTTCATTGATAGAAGAAGATCTGAGATCAAAGACGTGAAAAAGTTTTGTCAAGACCCACAAATACATAATCAAAGATATTCAATCAATAGAGAATCCAAAATAAGTTCACAAACATATATTAGATGAAATACATAGGGTATCAAAAGATTACAATCCATACCCCAACAAGAGATCGAAGATCTTACCTCCTCCCCCTTGGGGTTTTGTGTTTCTCTCTCTAAAGAAATGAAGAGAGATAAGTTCTGATATTCCAAAATGTTACAAAATGAAGTTTTTCCCCAAAAATGGAGTTATCCCCTAAAAATACAAGAAAATGACTTAAATACACGTTTTGGTTCTGTCACGTTCGCTAGGCGAACAGCTAGCGAACGTGAACTTTTGGCACTTTCAGATTTGTTCAATTCTGGGCTCGTTCGCTACCTGCTCGCTAGGCGAGCTGACAACATTTTGCTACCGGAAGTGTTTGCTGGAGACTCGTTGCGCCTTCGCCTAGCGAGTGTTTCGCTACCTTTCCTCACTGCATCTTCGCCTAGCGAGCTTGCTGTTTGTTTGCTTGTTTTCTTGGTTCCTTTGCCCATTTCTTGTGTCTTACTTTTCCATTTGTTTTGTGCCTGATTCCTGCACAATAGCACACAAATCAAAGGTACCAAGAGATTTTCATAATATATTGCAAACTAAACAAAACAAGAGTGGTTTTCAACACTTTTATGATAAAAATGAGTGAAAGGTGCCAATATATGATAGATCAAATAAGTGAAATTTGGCATCTAACACCCCCCCCCCCCCTCCAACCCCATTATACCATTTTGGAAGTGCAACTTGAAAGTTAAGCCAAGTTCACAAGTTGGTATTGGTGGAAATTTGGGAAAATGAAATTACAAAGAAAATTTATATCTATTTGTTACTTAAGGAAGAAATTTACGTTTTGGAAGATTTTAAATAATATTTTGTTTTAAAGAAAAAGTTGTGTCATGAATAGTACTACTAAGTCGACATGGATTATACACAATTTTAAAGTAATTTTAAAAAGCTCAAATATCCTTGATATGCTCTAGCTTTCAGTTTCTTAATTTGTTTTTGCAGAGAAGAAAAAGCGTTTGTTAGATATTGAAGCAGAGTTGAGTGATTCCCAATAATACTATTATGATATGTCGAGTTAATAAATTTTTTTGCATCAAATCCTAAACTTGCCTTGTAGTCTTTTTTCGTCAATATGGTAGTAGCCAAACGAATTATATTAACTTAAAAGTGTTGGAATATTTCACATTAATCATTACAAGATAATATAATAAGAAGTTTTTTTTTTCAAAAGGAGGGCTTAAGCCCAAATAGAAACTAACACTAACCAACCTCAAACCCAAGTGGAAAAGAGGAACAAGAATCAAAAATACAATAATCAAAAATTCAAAAGAGACTAAACATTGTTAGCTGATCAATTAGCTTTGCAGAAAATATGCTCAACTTGAAAATTATCTACTCCTTTGAGATCGTCTTAGATCTTGCTCACCATGTTCAATTTGGACTATGAAGCTTGTAACTTGTAATAGCTTTGAAAAGTTCTACATTATCTCCCAGAAATTCAACATTTTTAAGGTTATAACTCTTAACAAATTTTATTTATTCATTGTCTCTCTTTTTTTATGTACCAGTAATGAATATTTGTCCAACGCATTTTTCATCCTCCTAATTTAGATGTTTTAAATAAGTAGGCTTTCTATTTTAAAATTAGCGATTCTAACCTTTTAATTTTAATCCAATGATAATTAAGATAAAAAAATTATTTTTAATTAACTAGGATATTTTATTAATTGATATATTTTTAACTAATTTAATATTTAATAATGGTTTTTAATTAAATAAATATTAATAATTAAGTTTTTTTAATTAATTAATTAGAATATTGATAAGATATATTTTGGACCTCAGCTCAATTACTTTGAATATCAATTCAACACCAATTGACAACTGGATAGTGTTGTAGGGTAAGAAATCAGGGATAAGTTGCATCAAAATTTTATATTAATATTAATATTGTATATATTACTTAGCATTTAATAAATGTATATATTATGTTATATGCATATTTTGTAGTATTGTTATGTCAATTTTTAAATGCCACAACTATATTGCAACATGGTTACTGTAATACATTTCGTTACATAAATACAAAAAGCTAAAACAAATAAATGATATAAAATTATAAAAATATACATAAAAACATATATTAATATATAAAATTATTAAAAACTTATATATAAACTTATAAATTTAAAGTATATAATTTACAGTAAAATTATAAAATTATATTAACGTAAAAAATTTATAGTTTAGAATATTAAAAATTTAAAAATTAATATTAATGTATACATTTAAAAAAAAAAAAAAAAAAAAAATATATATATATATATATATATATATATATATATATATATATATATATATATATATATAAATATATATATATATATATATATATATATATATATATATATATATATATATATATATATATATATATATATATATATATATATATATATATATATATATATATATATATATATATACACATTTTAAAATATATTAATATTAAAGTTTTTAATAAACTATTTTTAATTATTTTTAATTAACTTCAATTTAATCATATAATAATTTTAACTTATTAAATAATGCTTATAACATTAATGTAGCAATAGTGATAACAATATATATTAACGTTAAATGTTAAATATAGCAAGAGTAAAAATATATATTAACGTTAAATATAACAATAACATTAAATGTAATAATATATATTAATAATATATAACAACGTTAAATGTGACAGTATATATTATCATTAATGTAGCAATAGTTATAACATTAAATATATAACATTAATTATAACATTGATGTTTTATTAATATTAACATTAAAGAAATATAATTTTTTATGTTAATCTTTAAATAAAAAGAATGTGGGTAAGACATTGGTGTTTGATGTAAAAGGGGTTTAATGCCTCTAAAAGCTATTTTTTAGAATTATGACATTTAACACTAAAACATAAAATAATAATAAAAGATGCCACGTAGAATTTAAAAAATAAATAATAATAAAAAATATCAATTAAGTCATTCACATAATTAAAAATGTAAAATAAACTTAGTTATCATTTAAAAAATATAAATAAAAAATATACCACTCAACTTGACATATATGTATTTGACATATGTCAGATCTCTCAAAGTTCTATATTAATAAAATCTTGAAATGGCAAGAGGGCATTTGAAAAAAAAGAATTTACGAAAATAAACCAAAAGTCGCCTATATGACATAGATAAAATGGTATTAACCCTAAAAATAAAAATAAAAAACTATTTCATCTTCTGTTTGCCCATCTTAACAAAATTATTATCTTAACTTTCGAGATCTTTTCTAGATCTTTTAGCTTTATGTTCTTGTTTCGTTTGCAACACAGTAGAAGTGACATCTTGATAGTGTCAACTGCTCACTAGTTTTAGCGGATTCTAACTCCCGATTGTTGATGCAAAAAATCAACAATTTTCTGCAAGCTCGTGAAGAAACAAAAGCAAATTACACAAATCATACTCTAAAAGAAAATATTGAGGTAGAAGAAAATCATATTCATCTTCGTACATAGACTTCATGAGTGGAGTTCCAAGGATCAAAATCTTAGGAAGTGTTGTTGATAATAAAAGACCACTTATGATCCATTTCAAACCTCTTCTAATATCACTCATCTTAATAAATGCAATTAGTTGGAGACTACAATTAATACGGAAAAAGAAAAGAAAAATCGGAACACAATCTGCATATATGAATAAAAGACTCATTTTGTAAATGTTGCTGGAAGATACCACTTAAAATGATAACAATGTAACTTAAAAATTTGCTACCAATTTTCTTATGTCTACACATTGATCCGGTGTGCAAAGTGTCCACCATTTAACACAAATGTAAGCTAGCAACATAATTACATATAATGGAACAGTGGTTGTCACTACATGATAGACATCAATTGAGGAAATCATGATGATGATGTCTAAGTGTTGAAGTGATTTAGGACATTTACAAACACGATAAGGTTTGTTGCATGATGTTTTTTAGGCTCTTTTGTTGATAATTTGTTTTTGAAAATGCTTCTTCATATTGACCTATCAGACTTTTCATGATATCTATTATCATTTTGTCATAAACAACTTTTGAAGATGTATTGGTTATGGCCTTAAAACTATCTACTATTTTCTTTTGGAGGAAAAATATTATGAGACTTTGAACTATTAAATGGTATCTTATTTATCATCATGCATGGTTAAACTTGACCCACAATTAGTTCCAACAAAAATAAACTGCAAGTGCATTAAACATAAAAGAAAAAAGAACCCTAGAAGTTGAAGTAGCAACAAAAATCTCCATCTAGATAATAATAACAATGGAATGAAAGAACTTACTGTTTCCGGATTAAAGTAGAAAGGATGCTCTAACAATTAGAATGTTCCATTTTTACGAGGGAAAAAAATGAAAAAAATGAAAAAACTGAAAATAAAACTTAATGAGATTTATAAGATCGATCTTGGTTTAGAAGAATTAAGAAAATCACACTAACAACAAGCAATGAGTAGCAGAAATCAAATTTAAGAAAATGGAAGATGCATTACATTCTATGAAGCACGTCTCTAAAAGTAAACGTGTCGCAGTGTTGGACACGTGTCAGTGTTAGTGTGTGACACTTGTGTGACACCTGTAAGACACATTAATATCCAAAAAAATATTGTATACACATATATTCCCTAAAGTAACTACATCTTTAACATGAATGAGGATGACTGGTTAGATAAACTAGCTTTACCTGTGTCTCACCATTGGTCTTTACATGAGCATTGGCCATTAGAGAAACAATGAAATCCTGAAGAATCTCTTAGAAAAATGTCCCTCTTAGTGATAATAGATACATATTTCATGAATGTATGGCAGTCTCCACAAAGAAGGATGTTCTTTACAATCCGGATGGGCTCCCTTGGCTTTGTCATCAATATTCCATAAGTTGCTGTTAGTTTTGAACTGTGAGAGAATATAAATGTTTTCTTTTGGTGCTCCTCCTCCACTTGGTGGAGAACGAAGCGCGTGTCAGGTTCATATCCAACTTTTAGGCACTCTGAGATTAGAATCTCCAACGCACTATATATGTCTTTGTCTTGCGGATGAGATCTATCTCTTGCATAGAATGAATGCATTTTCTTCTGACAAATGATCCAACTTTGAGCCGGGTATTTGTGAAATCCCCTTTCTCTCATATTTTCCCTTGTCATCTCAGAGCAATCCCATCTCCCAGAAGATGAATGCAAATTTGTAACAAGTATATATGCAGATGGATCTTTAGGTTCCAGGGCAAGAATATTCTTGACAGCCCATTTCCCAATCATTGTATTGTTATGGAGTTTGCAACCATCGAGCAAAGCACGCCAAATAAGAGTAGAAGGCTTAAAAGGCATCTTATTGATAGTTTCCCGCGCCTCTTCCAAGTAGGGATGGCAACGGGGCGGGTGGGGCGGGGACGGTTTTTGTATTCCCCAAACCCAAACCCGAATCTCAAATAAATCCCCGTTCCCCGCCCCGAACCCCAGCGGAGATGAATAATTGAACCCCAACCTCGTCCTAAATGGGTTCGGGATTCCCGCCCCGCCCCAAAACCCAAAACCTGTCTCAATCTTAAGAAATATTAACTTGTATTACAAAAATAAAATACAATCTCAAAGAATTTCAAACATATATTTCGAATTATAAAATACAAACGAAAGTATTAATTCATTAATCATACAATTAATATTTCAAATTAGCAAAACCAAATAATACAAAATATAAAAACTAAATAATAAAATACAAATTGATATTACAAACTACCATCCAAATAAACACATAGTAAAAAATATTCTACATTCCAAAATACCAACAAAACAACCACATAACTAAAAATATTCAACATCATTTGTCAATGAAAATTGCTAGTCAGAAATAGATAAGTGGCCAACACCTATATTAGTATGAAACAAATAGTTGAATGAAAATAAAAAAAGATTTAAATATCATAAAAGAGATCATAAAGTTTTATATAAATAATCTATTAATTAACTTTGAATATGCCGGAACACTTCTTTATAAATCATATTTTCAGTTAAATTTAAATCTTCACCTTTATCATTAGTTATTAATATCTTTAAGCTCATCCTTGAAGTAACTCTAGGTAGTGCAACATATAATTGTTCATGAGAGAAAATTGATTGGGTAAGATACACTCTAACATGTTTGAGTGACTGACCTTGACTCTTGTTGATAGTCATAGCGAATGAAACAATCAATGGAAACTGTCGATGCTGAAATTTGAAAGGAAGTCTTTTATTTGAAGGAGTCCGTGATAACCTTGGAATAAAAATTTTCTCACCAATATTGCTACCAGATGTAATTTTTCCTTCAAGCACATACCTTATCATTTTTGTAATTATCAACTGAGTGTCATTGCACAATCCTAAAGAAGGGTCTATATTTCTCAATAGCATGACCGGGACTCCAACTCTCAATCTTAATTTGTGATTTGAAAGTCCAGGAAAAACAATAGTGTTTAGAAATTCAGGAGTGTTCACATTATTTGATATATCAACATTTGATTTAATATTACATGGAGAGTCATAACTCAAATAAATTTTTTTATTCTTCAGGTATTAGATCTGACATTACTATTTTAATATTTCAACATATAGATAATAAAATAATAATAAAAATATTACGCATAAAAATAAAAATCAAAGATGACACGTCATATAAAAAAATTAATAAAATAACGTCACATCATAAATTTTATTGAATGTGTTTAAGAAGGATCAAAATAAAAAAATCTTTAAATAACAAGGATAAAATATATATTTTTTATAGGGTTATTTTTCAAATTCGCTTAAAATGACCGAGGCTAAAATGTTTAGTAAGCCTTAAAAGAAAGTGGGGACAAATGTAGTTTAGGTTTAATAAATTATTGTTATTGACAACTTAAAAAATTGAAAAGAAAAAAACATAAAACAAAACTTTTTTCTTTTCTTCTTTATTGGTTTCTTCTAAATCAAATTCAGTTGCGGTTAACAGAGTAGAAAACAACAGAGGGATTAATTTAGCACAGACTCAGAGTATTGTTAATGTATTTCAGCATTGAACCTCACCTCTGATCCTGATTTTCCATGGATGCACATCGTAAACACCAGGTACTCTTGTTAATTATACCTAATTCTCGTTTAATTTTGCGTCAAAAAACCGTTGAATCACTACAGATTTCTGCTATCTTTTTCAGGTATCGTTGCGAGGAGCGAGTGCGAAGGAGATTACGCGAGATGATCTTCTTCAGAAGGTTTCGCGAGAAAGAGAACTGCGTAATTATGCAAAACGTGTTGCTGCTGCTGCTCTTTTCGTTCAGGTTCGATGTCTTTCTCTTTTTGTTTTTTGATTCGTACAGAAATTTCAAGATTTAACTTGATAGTTAGTTCCTTGATTGCATGTTAAGAAGTACTATAGATTAGATAGGACGTATTAATTAGAAAAGAAGGGACGTGTAATGTTGTTGCGGCGAACTAGTGATAATCAATGTGAATTCTTGATTGGATGTGTGGTAAGAATAGAGAGGATAAGATTAGAAATGATAGTAGTAGTATCTATAGTAGAAAAGATGGTTGAAAATAGACTCAAGTGATTAGAGTTTGTAGAGAGAAGATATTTAGATTCTGTAGTAAAGAGAATAGATTAGATGAAGAGGAGTTAAACTCTAGGTAGACGAAGACCTAGAAAAACTATAAGGATCCGTTTGGGAGTTGGTTTTTTTTAAGGGGAAGACTTTGGACGGTTGCGTCTATATCTTAAAATGCACGTGATATTTTTAAAATTTTTAAAAAACAATATACTATATTAGCATATAAAATCATATTATTTTTTAAACTTTTTAAAAATATCAAACACTTTTCTAAATATAGATGCAACCCTCCAAAGTCTTCCCTTCCAAAACCCTTCAAAATCAAACTCACAAACAGACCCTAAGATCTCGATATTGACGATTTGGATAGCCTACCCACTTAGTGGGATAAGGCTTGGTGGTTGTTGTTGTTTTGTTTTTCAATGTGAATTCAGCATTTTAAAGTTATTTTTGAAATACGGTTACAAAATGGATTTGTGTGAATTCTCATGTGATGTCGGGGTTAGTTAATATAAATATACAACAGTGTTGTCGATGGCAGATGGCGGTCCATGGCGGAGAGCCAAAATCCCGCCATACGGCGCCGTTATTGCGGATTATGGCGGAAAAACCTGCAATAGCGGACGATATTTACCATTACGGCAAGCCCAAAAACCGCCATGTATATCGGCCATAACGGTCATGGCGCCACAATTTGATAACACTGATATACAAATCTTATCTCGGAAGAAAAATTAATATTCTAAAAGTTAGAGTAAGTCCTTGATTTGAGACACAGTGAAGTTCTATTTTTTTATTTTAATTTTTTATAATTGAGACTGGTTTGGATAAATCATTGAACCTGTAGTTATAGGAAAAAAAAGTTGAAATGATTTTGGACTGACTAAGAGTCTAATAAATAATAGTTTATCGCATTAGTTAAAAACAAAATATATGCATGATTCTTCTGATCTGGTATTGGCCTTCATTTGGACCTCATGCTTGTATCAATTATCAGACTAGAGAAATGACAACTTTTTCTTAATTTTGAAAGAGCGTTTGGAGGCGCTTCAAGGTTACAAGATGGTTACTCTGCAGCTTCAGCAGGAGTGGGAGCCATCGGTGAATAGTTATACTGGGGTGATGAGTGCAAATTGGATTTCAAACAATTTGTTGAGGCCGTTTCTGTTCTTTGTGACCCGCTTCTCAAATCGGCATCAAAAGGTTCATAGCAAGAAAATAGATTCTATGAGGATGTGCTTTACAATCTTATTGAAAAGCCTGAATTCTTCTGGTATATTCCCTCATTTTGATTTCCTCTTATTAGGCTTCAAGTTAGTGTTCCAATTATGTTGTGCTCATTTTGATGTGAGGCATGCCTACGTCTTATATAAAATTATGAATGACAAGTTACTTTCTGTTGCTTTGTTTTTCGTAGCTTTTACAATTCGATAGACCTATTTTCCCTTTTCTTGTTAACTCACATACTTAATATATGTCTAATGGATCTATTCCTTTCTTTGTATTAGATTCAAAGCTGAACTATTGCTTTTTGGCGATTGGTACTACTGAAGAGAGAATAATTTGGCGTTACCAGGCACATCGACTTACTTCTCTTGGTTTTTCGATTCTTTCAGAGTTTAGTGAATGCAATTCAGGGGCTCAAGATATTACTATTGTTACATCTCTAGCAATGCGTATTCTTGTTATGTTAACTGATCTAAAAGGATGGAAAGGCATTCCAGATGACAACCGCGTAGATGCAGACTTAGCCGTGAAAGGTTTAGTTGAGTTCACAGCGAGTAGTAGAAGTGGCAGTTATGTTTCTATTGCCAGATATGTTAGTGCATTGGATAATTACTCTTCCCAAATGAAAGTTGTCATCCAGGCTGATGAGAAGTTTTTTATTACTGCAAGTGCAATAAGTTTAGTTGTGCGGCCCTTTTCTCTGACAAACTTTGATAGAGAAAGGCCTTGTATGCTGAATGGCAACCATGCTGCTAAGCAGTATATTTTACATCTAATGACTATTCCTTTGCTAGTGCAACATATCCCACCTGATCTTTTACCTGCTTTAAAACACAAATCGATTATGTTCACATGTTTTCAGGCACTATTGGTAAGCATATTTAAAGCAGGACAATTTCATGTGCAAAATTAATAATTGTCTCTTTTGTTTTAATGAAAACTTATTCTCTTTTTATAGTTTTTATTCATTATGAACTACGTACATGTCACCATCTATGTTTCCTTTCGGGGCGAATCACCTACTAAACTGAGATCATGCCTAGTCAGCATACTCTTAAGCGGGTAGGTCCATATAATCTCCCATATAGATCTTTTACAAATATATTACTATAGAAAGTGAAATTTACGACTTGCATAACACACTTAATAAATTACCAAAAGAAAAACAACTTAAATCAAAGAACAATTTATAAAAACTTAAAATATGTATATACACACATCGATATAATGTGTAAAAAAGAAATTATTTCTTATGAAAAACTTGATTACATGTGGAAACTAACTAACCTTTTAAGGCAAAAATAGTGGGATAAGTCAAAAGTATGTCAGTAACTCCTATAATGCGTTGCATAATTCAATTTAAATATAGTTTTTTCCATTGCTTTGTCACAGTGGGAGAAGCAGTTGATTATAGTTTCCCAAAAAGCTTATTTTGTATTTGGTAATGGCAGCACTAAATTGTAAATGTTGGAGTTCGTGAATGTTTTTTTATTATTGAAATCGCATTCGGAAAAGGGTTGACATTCTGTATTCATTTATTGTGGGCCAACTACATGTTCATTACTCAAATGAGATTTTTGTGTTCTCAGAATGCTTGATAACTTACGTTTCTATACTCACGTATTTAATGTATTTTGATTATGTTGAACACTTTTCAGGTACACAATCAATACAAACTCCTTTTTTGAGCACTTTTTATCGTTGCTAAAACACTAAATTCGTCAAAATAATATACTACACATGCCTCCATGACCAGATATCATTTCTAATTGAAACACAATCATATTGCACTTGGAAACCTAAATTCATGTAACCTACATGAAACGTGACACACGTGCATTTGATCAGGTAAATAAATTTTCATTTTACTGGATTAGGTACAGAAGGTGAAAATTATAGAGGAATTTACATGTCATATAAAACTTCGAAATTTTTTTACTAAAATTTAATATTCTCTTTAATAATGTAATGAAGAAATTAATCAGATTGTGAATTTGGATATAGTTAATTGTGTATTTGAACCGTAGTGACCTTGTGTTAAAGGATGTGGACAATGCATTCCGTATTTGTGTCAAAGTAACATTTTTGTTAACTAAAGTTCCAATGGATCCAAGTACCAATACTTCATAAAATGTAGATATAAAAAACCATTACTAATCTATGTGGTTACATTAAATATTTATAATAAGATTTAGATAAAATTCCAATCATGGGGTATACAATACTACTACTCCATACTACTTTAGAATTTATCTTTGATCTCATTTCAAACAGTTTATTTACTAGACATCTCTATTTCTGATGCTACGACCTCTTTCATATAAAAATGGCAGCAACTTACAGGCTCCCTCGAACCAGAAGTTCAACAGAAAGTGAACCAAACTATCTACGGTAGCGGTGACGTTTGAAATTGAAGTACACATGCAAAATTCCACGTTCAAATCGGCACTTAAACCCTTTCTTGTGAGAATATTCCCACTCTTTGTTTACAATGCGGAAAGCCTGTGTCATGGAAGACACAAGGAAATAAGATTTTTTTTATCGGCAAATGTTACAGAAGTTAGTGTGATCTTCCTTATCACTCCACAAAGAAACTGTTAAAAGTCACAAACTGTCTAGTGATCAAAAAGATTAGACTTACTATATCTTCATATGGTGGCCCTGCATGGAATCGTATAATGCAAGTCTCTCCATTGCTGCCATCCTTCTCAATAGTGTAGTTTGGGGCTTTTATCTTGTCTACAAGATCAGGATAGAATATATTAAATTTGTAACCTTGCACAATCCTTGGAGGTGGGTTGTCATGATCATAGTGAGTCTGGTTATATTTGTTCCATTCGTATCCCGCATGAACACGGTTGAAATACTTTGGCTTCCTTGGTCTGTACTTGTCATGCCACCAATAAACCTGCTCCAACATTAAGCAGTAGTGTCAATAACTTCAAAAGTGAAAAAGATGACCAGAATTTAGACAATATTTTATTTCTCCATGGAATACCAAAATACATTATTCAGAGTGCATTTGCTTCCTCCAGTCTTGGCTTTTATGGCAGAAAGAAGCAATTGAAGGACGTGGAAGGATGATTTTTTAACAGTTGGCACAAGACTCCTCTATGATACCCATCCACATTTATAACTTATTATATCCAAATTATTCTATCCTATATAACGATATATTTTCTATCCAAGAAAAATTCCAAATTCTAAGAATCATGGAGTGAAATGATGGTTCGATTCCCCAAAGAGTGAAAATCATATATGTAGTCTAGAAACAATACCTGGGAATCAAGGCTCACTTCAGCTCCAGATCCAAACATTGCATCTCCATCCTCCATAGCTCCCATAGCTTTTATGGCTTTCATCTCTAAATTATCTTCCGATGGAGCAGGCTTTGATGCCATTGCTTCCTGAATTCGTCTTTGTTGCTCTTCTATTACAGCCATACGTTTCCGCTCCTATATATACCAACATACTGAAATTATAATTTCTATACTCATAATATAAGCATGGGATCATCATTAAAAATAATAATAATGTTTAAAAATATTACCAGTATAGCTCTGTCCTCTTCAGATCAATAGCTTCTTCATTTTCATCATCATGTAACAGTTGTGGCGAAAATGATCCAGCCTCGTCTTCAGCTTCTTGATTCTCTCTAATGGGCTCTGGTGAAAATGACTCATCTGCAGAACGGACTACCACAATATAGAAATACATATCAACAAGGATGAAGATATAGATGGAGCCAATAAAAAAATTCTTGAACAACACAGAGCATATATACCTTTAGCATCATCCTCAATATATGCCTCATCAGGTATCATGTCATGAGCACTCTCCGGTTCATCTTCATCCTCCAATGGTTGCTCAAGACGTTCCAAATGCTTACGCAACATTCTAGCATGGATTTCCTTTAAACAAGCCTATATTTCAAGCAAATTAATAATGCATTTTAGATAAAAACAAATATTTAAAGGAATCTAAGAGAATCATAGGAAAATAATGTGATGAAGAAAACCTTGGCCTTGTATATGTGGAGGTGTTTTAAAATGGCTTCCCAGTACTCAACCACCTTTGCTGTACCGGTACGTATCTCTGACTCAATGTGAACCTGTAAGGCTTCGAACTCTGTACGTGTCTTTCCATGTAAAAGGTCCTTCACATCTGGCTCAACACTGGAATGCAAACCCCTTTGTTCAGCAAGCAGCTCAGCAGGAGGTTCTTCTCCACGTACCCTAGCTCGATCAATTGCATCCTTTTTCCGAGATTCAGCAAGTTCCCAATCACATACCACGAGGAGAGCCTACAAGAAGTTGTCAAACAATAAGTCTTAGGCTTAGAAAAAGGTGCCAATCATAATGGCCAAATGTGTTACATAAAACAAGAAAAGGAAGAGATCATGAAAATCATTTAGTTCTTTTGATCTCCAATCCAACTCAAATTTTTTAGTAGAAATTATCTTGAATGCATTGTGTCAGATACGGTAAAACTTATCAACTACATAACCCGTGCAGAACTCAAACCAGAAATCAAACAATGGAAACAGGATGGTACCTCCCAGTATTCGACATGGGTTGGTGTTGCCCTGTCAAGATCCAGATGCATTTTGATGTCATCACGAAGTTCACTCATTTCTTTAACAGTCAAACCCTGTACCGTACATCAAATCTTTATTAAACTTGTTCAATAATATTAACATTCAAAGTTGCATAATTAAAACAGTTAAAAAAAGAATAAAAGAATGAAATGAAAAGGTATTAAAAGCTATATACTAACCTTAAAGACCATGTATGGTTCATTTATTTCTATATCCAAATCATCAGAACCATTGAGGTGCTTGGTTAGGACATCGATTGGCCTGGCACGCCCTTCACGCAATCTAATTTCTGACCTAACTTTGCTTTGATCAAAATGGAACTGCATATCAAATAGTCTAAGTCAACAAAAAGACAATATTATACTAACAAGAACAAATGTAAACAAACTCAGAGCACAGTACCTCCTCTTCCTTTTTTTCCCAGTCCTGGAACTCAGCTCGAACACGTTCTCTAGCTAACAATGCCTGGAAGAAATAATTTGTCAAATGACAATAAGATAACATACTTTGTGACACCATTAATCTAAGATTTATGTCAAGCCTTGACCTGACTCTAACATATTGCCACCATATTTGAGCCTCAAAATAAATATTGAGAGAAGTTGAATCATAGAAGCGCTGGTTACAGAAAATAACTGATATGAATCGGTGGAATTTTCCCTCAAATAAATGAACCGATATGTAACCTAACATAATTGGTATGCCATATTAGAATAGAACCACAAAACTTTACAGTCACTAGATAGAAGATTTTCTTCTAACGGATTAAAATGATAACAGTTGAAAATTACAGATTAGATAAAGGAAATAACCGAATATATTTAACTAACAAGAATGAAAAATTGTGATACCAAACACTGATCTAAGAGTTGTTTAAACTAATATGTCAGGTTAGGTATTGAACATAGTAATACACTACCACAAGTACAGCTATAAACAAGCTCAGACTTATAATAGTTAACACAACATGACTAAATTCCCATAATACCTATTAACTAACAACAAATAATGAGAGGGTTTACCATTTCTTCTTCGTGTCAACTACATCTTTAACATGAATGAGGATGACTGGTTAGATAAACTAGCTTTACCTGTGTCTCACCATTGGTCTTTACATGAGCATTGGCCATTAGAGAAACAATGAAATCCTGAAGAATCTCTTAGAAAAATGTCCCTCTTAGTGATAATAGATACATATTTCATGAATGTATGGCAGTCCCCACAAAGAAGGATGTTCTTTACAATCCGGATGGGCTCCCTTGGCTTTGTCATCAATATTCCATAAGTTGCTGCTAGTTTTGAACTGTGAGAGAATAGAAATGTTTTCTTTTGGTGCTCCTCCTCCACTTGGTGGAGAACGAAGCGCGTGTCAGGTTCATATCCAACTTTTAGGCACTCTGAGATTAGAATCTCCAACGCACTATATATGTCTTTGTCTTGCGGATGAGATCTATCTCTTGCATAGAATGAATGCATTTTCTTCTGACAAATGATCCAACTTTGAGCCGGGTATTTGTGAAATCCCCTTTCTCTCATATTTTCCCTTGTCATCTCAGAGCAATCCCATCTCCCAGAAGATGAATGCAAATTTGTAACAAGTATATATGCAGATGGATCTTTAGGTTCCAGGGCAAGAATATTCTTGACAGCCCATTTCTCAATCATTGTATTCTTATGGAGTTTGCAACCATCGAGCAAAGCACGCCAAATAAGAGTAGAAGGCTTAAAAGGCATCTTATTGATAGTTTCCAGCGCCTCTTCCAAGAGACCCCAGTGACCCAAAACACTGATGAAGGATGAATAATGTTGAGATGTTGGCTCAATGTGATAAATAGTTCTCATTGAATCAAACAAACTACGGCAGTCATCAACCAAATTCAAGTTAGTCTGTCTATAGGCTAAAATTATCAAACTGAACGTAACTTCATCAGGCGTTATGCCCTCTTCCTGCATTTTCAACCATATTTCCAAAGCTCTATCGCCCTGCCTGTGCATAACATAACCAGAAATTAAAATATTCCATGAAACTATATCAGTAGAGGACATGCCAGTGAACATCTTAATTGCATAATCTACATTCCCAGATTTAAAATACATACTAACAATAGCATTTCCAACTCGCACTTTAGAATGAAAGCCAAATTTAATAACTTGACAATGGATTTGCTTGCCCATATCATGATAGCCAACAGTTCCACAAAGACCAAGCATCGAAGATAGTGCAACTTCATCCATAATCAATTTCCCTTTAGAATGACCAAGATGGAAAACAGAAATTGCCTCATTCGGTTGCCCGTTTCGAGCATAGCCACAAATCATGGAAGTCCAAACAACAGAGCTAGGTTTCTCCAATTCTTCCCACATGCTAAACATCTTCTTAGCATCTACCATCCTCCCACACCTTGTGTACATTTCAAGCAAGGCCCCTTCAACACAAACATTTGATCCAAACCCAAACTTGATTGCAAATCCATGCATCTGTTTGCTGACCCCATAATCAGCAAGCAAACTACAAGCATTAATCCCATTAGTCATAGAGAAACCCGTTAACTCCATGCCCTCATCCACCATTCTAACAAACAATTCGACAGCCTTTAAACCCTCACCCTTTCGACAAAACCCAGACAAAAGAGCATCATAAATCACACAATCCTTTTCCGGCATTTCATCAAAAACCTTCAAAGCCAAATCCACAAAATCAAACTCCATATAGGCCCACACCATCTCCGTCCAAGTAATAGCATCTCTAACACCCATCCTCTCAAATAAACAAACAACAGCATCAAGAGTTCCACAACTCGTATAAAACCCAATAAGAGCATTCCCAACATTCAGTTCAGTCTCCAACCCAACCTTAACAGCAAACGCGTGCACTTGTTTCCCCTCCATCACCAAACCAGTTGTTCTAGCACAAGCAGCCAAAACCGTCGACAACGTAAAATAATCAACTTTCAAAGAATCAGTTACCAGCATATCAAGAAACAATCGAAACACAGTGTCATACATACACCCCTTAACAGCACACAAAATTACAATGTTCCAAGACCCAATATCCCTCTGAGCCATTTCATCAAACACCTTGAATGCAGTTTGATAAAACCCACATTTCAAATAAAACGACATGAGCACGTTTGAAACAAAAACTGAATTCAAATACCCAGTTTTAATAACCGCAGCATGTAACTGGAGACCTAATTGAAGGCTGAAAATTCTAGTGCAAGCGGTTAAAATCGCAACATAAGTGTAGCCATTTGGGCGAAGAGGTGAAGAGGTTATCATGTGGAGGAAGAGGAATATTGCTTGGTGCTCGCGTTTGGATTTGGAGAAAGTGGAGATGAGAGAAGAGTAAGAGACGATGTTGGGGTGTGGTTGTGGGGTGGAATGGGAATGGGTTTGGGTGAGGGAGTGGAGGGGAAAATGGGTTTTGGAGTTTTTGAAGGGAAAGTGGAAAAGGGGAGGATGGTGTTTTGGTTTGAAATGGGAATGGTGGTGAGGAATGGAGGAGAAGGAATTTGGGAGGAATTGGAGGAGTGTCTCCATTTTTGCACGTAACCTTTGTTTTCAACTTCAATTCTGCTCTGATAGCGTTTCTGTTTCATTTTATTTGCCGCGGGAGATAGAGATGTATTATTGTACCGTTGAAGTGTTCAACTATAAGTAAAGTAAGACGGTTACAAATTTATAGTAAAGAAAGATAGACAATGTAGGAAAACTTTATCAAAGAGAGATACATGTGATTATTCTAAAAATATCTTCTCACTTTCGAAAGTAAATTATTTTAGTGTTTGAGTGTTTGGAGGTATCGTAAGACTTTAAATTCTGACATTTTTTATTTAAATAAAATCATATAAGAATATCTTTTTATTCAGCAAAAGTGTCACACCTTTCTTATAAAATATCATTTTTAACTTAAAATTAAGCATTGAAAAATAAAATATTATCAACTCAACATAAATATCTCATGCTTTTATTAAGATAACTTAATTCCGACGTAAGGAAATAAATCTAACAAATTCTCAAGAAAACATTAAACAATTGAAAAATCGTCTCAATATTATATTATCATAGCAGAACGCGGAGATATTAAGTAAACTAAAAAAATGATAAATAAAACGAAGTAGACATCTATGTGAATGCTTCCGAACAGTAGCAGTTAATGCTCTTCTACTTAAACAAAAAGGGGTGAGACATATGTTCATAATGTTAATGGTATATGTAAACAGTTAGGATAATTCAACATCAATATTCCACAATCACATAAAATAGCTCACAAACATAGAACAATCTCATATGCAACTTTATGTAATGCAATGTGACTCATCATTACTACTTCAATATGCATGTGATACCAAGTTTTTAAATTTCTGAGTTGTGTTACTGATTGATCCACGCTTCTAGTTCCTCAATTGACCCAACGATTCCACCAATAAATCTGAGGCCCGTCTCTGTTTCCTCATCTGAACCAATGATTCCACGAACGAACATGATGCATAAAATTTAACTAATAACATCAATATATTACTCAACAACGGTTCCTCATCAAAACCGACAATTATATCAATATCAGGTCACCGTTGTAGTTTCTCATCTGAACTACTCATCTCAATAATATATACATGCAATTACAGCTTAACACATGCATATAATTATATATTTATTCAACATTACTCACCAATAGAGAAAAATATTAACATATGTGTTCAACAACACTCATCAACAGACTAAACATATTATTACTAAAATATCCACACTAACATGGTAAGAAAACTATTATACATGATCAAAATTACTCATCAACAAACTAAGCATATTATTACTTAAATATGCACACTAACATGGTAAGAAAATTATTATACATGATCAACATTACTCACCAACAGGGTAACAATAATATTCCACAACTCTCACATTCAACAGAGTCAACTAGTAACCCATCAGACAACGCAATACAACAAATTATTATTTACCTTTAACTCTAACATTGTAAAAAGGACTCTAAACTCATCAAAAGGTAATGAACTGTAACCGAAATCACAAAACTACTCAAAACCTACCGAACTAAACCGCAAAACTCGAAATCGCCGACTCGCCGATCTGCGTTAACCGACTGTCGTCTGTCACATTGTTGCGTACACCACCGTGCCACGACTCCATCCGTGTGCGATCGTGCACCGCGCTGCTACGACTTTTGTTACCACTAACAGTATTCGTGTCACCGCGTCGCGACTTTGCCTCTTACCGTGGCTTATCGAACCTCCATCGTCGTTCCCGACGCGGCACCCCCTCCCTCGATTCCCGATTTTTCCGATTCTAACTTTATGATATTCGCTCTATTGAACAAATTTACAACTTGCGGGCAACTGCCATACACAACAGGACATAATTATCAACAAGGTAATTGAATTAGAGTACATATCAAATGATAATTCATATCATATTACTCAAGAATAAAAGGAAACATTATTAATCGGTCGCCTCAAATGGGTTTTGCCAAAACCATATTTGCCCATAAACATTAATTACAGATTAAAGGAAAATGGAGAAGATGGGAGGGTAAAAAACCCTCAATATTCCTCTATTTAGCCACCAATAAATGAATAATCCCCCATTTTACTTTAAAATACAGAGCAATGAACTTCACCTTTTAAGATTTCTCTCAGTTCTTCCAACACTCTCCTAGATTTCTTTATGTCTCTTTCTCAACTTTTCTCTAATTTCACGATATGGCTAAAAGTTTATTCCAATTCCCCTTTTTAAAACAAAACACTATTTATCTTTTTAATATTTCTCTTAATTCCGCTTAATTTCACTATTACCACTTTTTCCCTCTATTTTTATAAATAAAAAAATCTAACTCTTGCCCCCAAAACCAAGTAATCTCATATTACTATTATTTTTAATATTATTCTTAGTTAATTTAAATATTAAACTAATTCTTAATAAAAAAACTCAATCATCCAATAATTAAATAATATTTATTTAATTAAATAAAAGCATATCAAAACTCAAATAATTATATAAAAAATAATATTAAAAATATTAAAATAACACTAATAATATTAAAATTAAAATTAGGGTGTTACAACTCTCCTCCACTTAAAAAAATTGCACCCTCGAAAATTAACTAAAGGAAACATCTTCGGATAAGATTCCTTCACCCGACTCTCTAACTCTCACGTCACACTTCCTCCAACAGATCACCCTCACACCATCTTTACTAAAGCAAGTTATTTACCTCTCAGATATTTCACTTCTTGATCCTTGATTCTCAAATGTGATCTCTCAACAGTCAAGCTCTTTCTTACTTGCACATCATCAAATTAGATCACATGAGATGGATCAGGAATATGCTTCTGAAGTTGAGACGCATGAAAAACATCATGAAGATTCGAAAGAAATGATGGTAAGACAACTATGTAGGCCACTTATCCTACTCCTTGAAGAATCTAAAACATACCAATAAAATGAGATGTGAGATTTTGAGACTTCAGCGCACGACCAACGCTAGTCACCGGAGTGTCTCTCAAGAATACAATCCCCCTCTTGGAATTCAAATGCATTTATTTGCTTATCATGATTTATTTGCTTTGTGACACCTTTATCTTCTCATGAATCATCTTAATCTCCTTAGTAAGTTGCTGAACAATCTCAGGTCCAAGCACAACATTCTCCTGTGATTCATACCAACACAAAGGTGTCTTACACCTTCTACCATACAAAGCTTCAAAAAGTGTCATTTCAATACTAGAATGGAAATTATTGTTATAGGTAAACTCAATCAATGGTAAATAACTATCTCCCTACTTCAAGACACAAGCCCTCAACAAGTTTTCCAAAGATTGGATAGTCTTTTCTATCTGACAGTTCGTCTACGGATGGTGTCGCAACGCAAAAAATACATGAGTGTACTAACACTTGAAATAGAAACAGTGGTCACCAAGGTTTTATTTTTTGAAGGGAAACATCGATAAAACCCTAAAGGTGGAGATAAGTTGGACATCACAACCAAATATGGGTTCGGGATTCGATTATGTGAGAATAAGGTATTATTACCCCTCACATATGTTGTACTCAATTGAAACCTCATATAGCTCTAAAGGTTAAGGGTGTGTTACATAAATGTTTGTGATTATTTATTTTATTTATTAAAACTAGACGCAGACCCGTGCAAAGCACAAGTATTTTGAAATGTTATATATAACATCTATATTAGTATGAAACAAATAGTTGAATGAAAACAAAAATGATTTAAATATCATAAAAGAGATCATATAGTTTTATATAAATAATCTATTAACTAACTCTGAACATTTTAGAACACTTCTATGTAAACCATATTTTCAGTTACATTTGAATCTTCACCTTTATCGTTAGTTATTAATATCTTTAAGTTTGTCCTTTAAGTAACTCTAGATAATGCAACATATAATTGTTCATGAGAGAAAATTGATTGGGTTTGATACACTCTAACATGTTTGACTGACTGGCCTTGACTCTTATTGATAGTCATAGTGAATGAAATAATCAATGGAAATTGCCGATGCTGAAATTTGAGAGGAAGTCTTTTATCTGAAGGAATCAGTGATAACCTTGGAATAAAAACTTTCTCACCAATATTGCTATCAGATATATTTTTTCCTTCAAGCACATACCTTCCCATTTTTGTAATTCTCAATTGGGTTCCATTGCACAATCCTAAAGAAGGGTCTATATTTCTCAATAGCATGATCGGGACTCCAACTCTCAATCTTAATTTGTGATTTGGAAGTCTAGAAGAAAAAATTGTGTTTAGAAATTCAGGAGTGTGCATATCATCTGATATGTCAACATTTGATCTGACATTACATGGAGAGTCATAACTCAAATAAGTTTTTTCTTCTCTAGGTATTAGATCCAACATGTAGACATTTATTGCACACAATTGCACTCTTAGGAGCCAATATAGCTCTATTATGGAAAAAATGATGGATCACTCATGTTATGCATTAGATCTGGATACATGCTTTGAACAATAGCTGAAAGTGGATCACCAAAGCTAGTAATCAACAAATCTTTTGGTATCTTGACTCTCATATCTCCATCATTTGTGTCTCTGATACTTCCATCACCAATTCCCAAAATCTACTATAAAAAACTCTTTCTCTCTTTAATGTCTAAATTTGTACCTCCGGTTAGAAGTCTCATGTTAGTGGTCAATGTAAGCACTTCATAAAAACTCCATAGAGGAGAAGAATTTATAGTAGAATGAAAAACCTCTTATCTTGTTCCTTTAGGTATAACAGGAAGAATCTGACGAAAATCTTCACCTAACACAACTACCTTTCCACCAAATGAAATATTTTTTGCTCTCAGTATATCCTTCAAAGTACGATCAACAACTTCAAAATAATGTTTGTGCATCACAGGTACTTCATCCCATATGATTAGCTTTGCACGACGTATTAAATCAGCTAAAAGGTCTTTTGGAGTTATTTCACACGTCGAATATTCATCAATATTTAATGGAATTCTGAACCTCGAGTGTGTGGTTCTTCCACTCA